GGCGGCAGCACAAGAGGAGAGGGAGAATCTCGTGGCCCGGGCGCTCCTTGAAAGTGCCACAGCCCCGGGAGCATCGCCCCCCATTTTGCAGGTGCCCGGGCAGGGGGAGCGTGGCGCAAATATCCCAAGGGGGGTTCCTGGGTTTGGGGTTTTTTGGGGGGGAGGTTTGCAGCTGGCAGGGCTCCAAAGCCAAGCTGCAGATGCCCCTCGGGGGAACATCGGAGGGTCCCAGCGCCAGCAGTGGCTGCTCCCAGTATGAGCCCAGTTGGTCTCTCCGTGTGCTTCCAGTTTCCTCGGCACTCCCAGTGTGAGCCTGGTCATTCCCAATATGGGCCTGTGCACTCCCAGTATCATCCTGGTCACTTCCCCTGCGTCCCTGCAGGATCCCAGTGACTCCCAGACGAGGTCAGTCCCTCCCAGTCCTTCCCTATGATGATGCAAATTTCTCACAGCATGGTCCCAGTTGCTCCCAGTTCCTCCCACTTTCATCCAGTGTGTTCCCAATTCTCCCAGTTGGCCCTAGCATAGTCCCAGGCACTCCCAGTATGATCCCAGTCTCTCCCAGCAGGTTCCCAGTCACTCCCACTTGCCCCCAGTGTGTTCCCAGTTCCCACAGCACATTCCCAGTCTGGTCCCAGTCCCACACCCAAATGGTCTGAGACCCTCACACTATATCCCAGTTGCCCTGAACATTCTGGCAGTCATTGCCAGGCACTCCCAGTCACCTCAGTGTGGTTCACTTGCCCTCTGTTATCTCCCAGGTGCTCCCAGTTGCTCTAATTATGTCCCCAGTTGACTCCCAGCAGGGCCTGGTAGCTCCCAGTAACCCCCAGTCAGGGTCCAATCACACCCACTCTAATCCCAGTATGATTGTAACCACTCCTGGTATGATCCCAGTCACTTGCAGTCTAATCCCAGTTGCTACCAGACACTCCCGGTACAATTCCAGTCCCTCCAGTGTGATCCCAGTTGCTCCCTGTAAATGCCAGCAAGATTCCAGTCACCCTGAGAGTGATCCCAGTGGCTCCCAGCATGGGCCCAGCTGTTCCCAGTGTGCTTCCATCACTCCGTTATGGTTACAGACACTCCCAGTATGGTCCCAGTTGAACACAGTTGCCCCTGCTCTAGTCCCAGTCACTCCCCATATGATCTCAGTTCCTCTCAGCATGGTCCCACTCACTCCCAGTTTTTCCCAGCATAGTCCCAGTTGTCCCCAGCATGGCCCTGGTTGTTCCCAGTGTGATTCCAGTCCCCCCAGTATGGTGACAGACAATCCCAGTATAATCCCAGTTGTCCCCAGCATGTCTGTAGTCTTTTCCAGACACTGCCAGTGGCCCCAGTAAGGTGTCAGTTCTCCCAGTATGATCCCCCAGTCATGCCCAGTATATCCCAGTTGCCTGCAGCAGGCATCAAGTCCTTCCCAGTTCCTCCAGTGTGCTTGCAGCATCATCCCAGTTTCGCTCAGTTGCTGCCAGTAACCCAAAGTGTGATCCCAGTCACTCCCTTTAAACCCAAATATGATCCCAGTAAGCTCCAGTTTGATCCCAGTCACATGCCAGCCCTCTCAGTAAGGTCCCACTATAATCCCATTTGCTTCCTATTTCTCCCAGTATGGTCCCAGCTGCCTCTAGCATGGTTCCAGTTGCTTCCTAGATCAGCCCAGTCAGTCCCAGTATGATGCCGCTTGCTCCCAGTGCGCTCCCGGTTGCTCCCAATAGGGCTCAGTATGGGGGATGATGTGCAGGGTGTGTTCCCACTCACTCTCAGATACTCCCAGTTTTAGTCCAGTCCCTCCCAGTATGATCCAAAGATGAGCCCAGTGTGGTCCCAGTCTCTACCAAAATAAACCAGTTGTGCTCCACATGGTTCCAGTTGCTCTCTTTCACCCTCACTTTCCTTCCAGTCACTCCCAGTATGTCCCGGTGTAGCCCAGTTCCCTTCAGCATCTTTCCAGTTCCTTCCAGTATGACCCCATTTCCTCACAAGCACTCCCAGTTAGCCTCAGTGTAGTGGCACTCACTGCCAGTATGATCCCTGTCACCTCCAGCATGATCCCAGTTCATCCCAATATAAGCCCAGTTGTTTCCAATCACCTCCAGCGTGCACCCAGACACGCCCAGTTCCTGCCAGTTGCTCCTAGCATCTTTCCAGTTGCTCGCAGCAGCTCCCAGTCACCCTCAGTATAATCCCAGTCACTCCCAGTATATCCCATTTGCCCCTAACATGATCTAAATTGCTCCTCACGGGCTCCTGCTCACTGCCAGTATGATCCCAGTATAATATCAACACAAACCCAGTACAGTCCCAGCATGATACCAGTGTGATGTCAGTACAAAGCCAGTACAGTCCCAGTNGGAAAGCAGCCGGAGATGGAGCCAGAGCTCGGAGCTGGTGCTCCATGAGAAGCTGTGTGATGGGAAGAAGCCCCACACGTGTGGGGAATGTGGGAAGAGCTTCAGGTGGAACTCCAACCTGATCCTGCACCAGAGGACCCACACTGGAGAGAAGCCCTATGAGTGTGCAAAGTGTGGGAAGAGCTTCAGCCGGAGGTCCGGCCTGATCAGGCACCAGAGAACCCACAATGGGGAAAAGCCCTATGAGTGTGGGGAGTGTGAGAAGAGCTTCAGGTGGAGCTCTAGCCTGATCCTGCACCAGAGGACCCACACGGGTGAGAAGCCTTACGAGTGTGGGGAATGTGGGAAGAGCTTCAGCGAGAGCTCCAGCCTGGTGAAGCACCAGAGGATCCACACTGGGGAACGGCCCTACAAATGTGGGGAGTGTGGGAAGAGCTTCAGCTGCAGCTCTTACCTGATCAGGCACCAGATAATCCACACTAGGGAATGGCCCTACAAATGTGGGGAGTGTGGGAAGGGTTTTATTCAGAGCTCCCACCTGATCAGCCACCAGAGGATCCACACTGGGGAACGGCCCTACGAGTGTAGGGAGTGTAGGAAGAGCTTCAGCTGCAGGTCTGACCTGACCAAGCACCAGAGGATCCACACTGGGAAACGGCCCTATGACTGTGGGGAGTGCGGACAGAGCTTCAGGTGGAGGTCTGACCTGACCAGCCACCAGAGGATTCATACTGGGGAGAGGCCCTACGAGTGTGGGGAGTGTGGGAAGAGCTTCAGAGAGAGGTCCAGCCTGACCAAGCATCAGAGGATCCACACTGGGGAGAGGCCCCATGAATGTGGGGAGTGTGGGAAGAGCTTCAACTTGAGCTCCAGCCTGATCAAGCACCAGAGGATCCACACTGGGGAAAGGCCTTTCACGTGTTCCATGTGCGGGAAGAGCTTCAGCCAGAGCTCCCACCTGATCACGCACCAGATGACCCACACTGGGGAGAGGCCCTACAAGTGTTCCAAGTGTGGAAAGGGGTTTCAGTCCAGCTCCCACCTCCTCCGCCACTATCAGATTCACACAGAGGAGAGGCCCTTCCAATGCCCTGAGTGTGGGAAGGGATTCAAGCGCAACTCCACCCTCATCACTCACCAGCGCATCCACACTGGGGAGAGGCTTTACGAGTGTGATAAATGCAGGAAGAGGTTTCTGACCAGCTCCAATCTCGTCCTGCACCAGCGCAAGCACACAGAGGAGAGGCCCTTCCGCTGCCCTGACTGTGGAAAGGGATTCCAGCGCAACTGCAACCTCGTCAAGCACCGGCGCATCCACACTGGGGAGAGGCCCTATGAGTGTCCCCAGTGTGGGAAGAGCTTCTCCAGCAGCTCTCACTTGACCCAACACCAACAAAGGCACCGGTAAGGGAAGCCCTGCGAGTGCCCCGAGTACGGGAAGAGCTTCGTGCGCAGCTGCACCTCTACTGCACGGGTAGTGATTGTGTGGGGCTGGCTGTACAGGATGCATTTGCAGCAAATAAAACTCTTAGACTTACTGATTTCTCTCCCGTTCATGTTCAGTCCGTTGCAGTTCTGGTTGCAGAGTACCGCCTCCCAGAGTGTCCCCTCACAGTTGCTGCCCTTGGCCTGAGCCCGCCCCTTTCCCCTCACGGTT